CAGCCTCCGCTTCAACCTCCGCGCGGGCCCCGCACAACCCGGCGCTGCGCAGCTCGCGTAGGAGCTGGGACGCTCGGGGGGATTTCCTGGGTTTGATTTGGGGGACGCAGCGGGAGCTGGCACAAGTCACCTACCACGGGGTTAATGCGGGCTAGAACGGAGCTATTTGTAACACAGAAATGCTGCGCACCAAATACACACATCTGATTTCTTTTAATCCCAGCTCGTTTTTTGCAACATAAATCACTTTCTTAAAATGAGCAGTTAAAACAGCTGGTTTAGACGCTCTTGAAACACACAAAATCTGCTGCTCTAGATGCTCTAAGTGAGCAATGAGAAGTGCAAAGTGCAACTAGTCTTACGGGAGAGCGAGGAATAAATAAACCCAGTTTACCTCTAACGCAGGTTGCAGGCTCCCCAGGCCAGGCTGTGCTGAACACACAAACACCCACTGCTCCTCCCTGCAGCTCCTCCAGCCTGGAGTTCCTCAGAGGGGAAGCAACCCACACACACAACTCCTTCTCTGGGTGCCCAACTTACTTGGGGCCAATTAAAGAAGATTAAAGAATCAAATTTGCCTCCCAATGAGGAACGTAAGTGGAGCAGTTCATTTGCAGTGCACAACTGATGCAACCATGGCTCTCCAAAGGGCTGTGTGGGGCAGCTGTGGGGCACCAGGGCTCAGCACAGCTGGGGCACGTTGACTTGTCCCTGTGACCGTGCAAGTGCCCACATTCTCATCTGGGACCAAAGACACCTTGTGCAGCTGTTTTCTCCCACAGCATTTCTACCTGCCCGGGAAGCTGCGCTGCAGCTGGCACCGCCTGCTCGTGCCCCAGTGGGCTGGGGACACTGGCACAGGGCTGGGGCTCGTTCCAGCACGTTCCTGTGCCACCCCAGGGACCAGCTGCCAAAGCTGCCCCAGCCTGGCCAGGCCATCTCCTTCCTGCCGGGGACACGCAGAACCTCTCATGAAATGCTGAAGAGACCCCAAAGCCCCTTCCTCAGCCCCGTGCTGGGAGCCCTGGGCAGCACTCCCAGATGAGGAGCCCTTCTGCGGGCAGCAGGAAAAGCCCATCAAGGGTGTTTCAGACATTGATTAAACTGTACCCTTATTATTTAAATGAATAAAATCTCTAGCTGCTGCATGGGGGGCAAAAAGACTCTTATCTGTACAGATTGATTTACCACCAGGAACCCTACCTGCCTCAAATTTGGGACACGCACCATTGCTTCATCTTAGAGTTTGCTTCATCCATGCATTGGGGATCAACTGCATCCACTTGTTGGTTTCAGTGTGGCACAAAAAGCAAATTATAAGTCCTCACTGAGATGAGCCTTCACAGGATCACTTTTTTTCATTGTCTAGGTTTTTATCCACTTTGGTAAATTTACTTTTTTGTTCAGCATTTGCAAACACTCTCCAGAAATCCTACAGCTGTTTCTTCTTGCTATAGGCACCGCACAGTGAAATCTACTTGGGCTTTAGCCCAAGTGAAGAGACCAAAGATGAAGGATCATTCCAGCCTGCAAACCCTCTTGACAATGAAACATACTGTAGAAAGGGCACAGACAGATTCAGGCTCCCTATTAGGGAAAACACTCATGTGCTTAGTTTTAAGCATGTGGTTAAATCCATTCTTCTTTGCAAAATCTCTGAGACACATGCACATGCCAAAGTGCATTCCTGAGTAAGGATGCTTCCCTGAACCGAGGCAATAATTCATTAAAACCCAAGGTGCATTTATCCTACTTTCTCCCCATGAGCAGGGATATGAAAAAAGGGGAAGGGAAAAAAAGAAAACAAGCAAAAGAATTAATTTTTATTTGAAACTGATCTATGGTGACAAGGGGCATTTGGTTTTGTTGAAGTAACTAGAAGTGGGAAGTATTTCAGAAGATATCTAAATAAATCTTTTTAAAGGGGTTTCTCTCTCTCTCTCTTTCTTTCTTTCTCTCTTTTTCCCTCTAATTACCCATGTCTGGTAGTCTTGGATCTCAACCCCTTGTTATTTAAAATACATATTCATGGAACTATATTTTACAGTTGCACTGCTCTGGTTACAAAATAGCTTCTACTTTTCTAGGACATAATTTCATTTTGTTTAGCCAAGAATTCATTAAAGAAGCTATAAATAACCCCCTTTAAATATTTAGCCGTGAATAGAGGGTGGACTGGCATTGATGGCTTATTTTAGTACAAATGCAATATGCTTTAAAAAAAAAAAATCCGCATTTGAACATGAATCAAGTTAATCATTAACACTTTCAATGTGATTCTCAGGATCTGCTTAAACCAGAGATTGCCCCCTCCCAGCTGGCGAGCTTGGGCGAGGGAGGGCTGCACAACTTTCCCTCTGGTTTTTCTTTTCCAAAACACCATTTGCTCCGTGCCCCGGGGCACACGCAGCCCTGGGGCTTTGATGGTCTGTCCCCCAGGCAGGGACCCAGCTCTCAGCCCCTTCTTGCTCTCCTGCTGCCACACGTCGCCAGCATCTTCCGCCCAGGAAGCTACACCACCTTCCCAAACACCCAGCAGAGAACACCAGTCAAATGAGCACGGCCTTTTAAAAATGTCCCCTTGGAAAAGAGAAGTCTCAATGCCGCCGCCTCCCTCTTAAGCACAGAGAGAATAAAGTGCTGAAAAAGAGGGAGTTGGTGATTCTGTTCCAGTGCGTGAAGCGGCACTGAGCAGCTGCCATGATCCAAGAGCAAAGGGTATGAGTGCAAGGCATGGCCATTTTAGGGGAAGGTGAGGAAACAGCATGAGCTCCCGCCCTGGTCATGGACGTCCCAAGTCCTGGAAAAGCAGATGCTGTCGGCCTTCAGGATGCGTTTCCATAAAGCCACAGAACTGCAGCCAAAAGCAAATCCTTCCTTTCACCTCCCAAGTCTTTTTGCCTCACTTCTTAGGCTGTGGTTTGATGATGTCAGCTGGAGACTAACATCAGTTTAAGGTACTCCGGCTCTCCATGCCCTCTGCCAATGTTTGCCCTTGCCCTTGCTCAACATATTACCCCTCTCAACTGTGCCAATAGAGACATGCTGAGAAATCAGGAAACTCACTGGCATCAAAGAATCATGCACAACTATTGGAAAAAAAAAAACCAAACCCAGCAGTCTGGTTTTTAAACCCAGGTCCATCACCTATCATCAATCACAAGGTGACCCAAACGTAAGCTGTGTCAGCACAAGGCGAGAAGACAGGAGCGAGCTGCTGGGCAGGACTCCTGATGTCGGACTGCCCTCAGTCAAGAGAAGGATACACGAAACTGTACCCTGAGCACTGCAGTGCTATTGCATTCTGAAATAAAGTTGAAGCATTAAGACAGTTTTCCTTAGTGCTGACTCCCTCTGGGCATTCCCAAGACAATTACAATGTTTTCTGAATATACAAAAGAACTAGGAGATTTTGTAATCGGAGTCGGGAGTTTATGCTTCTCTCCTTAAGAGCATTCAATTTCCATGGACACTCATTAGCAGGAGGTTAAAACACAATGGCAGAAGAGAATGGACCCCTTTTATGTCCATGTGGTAGTAAACACTTCAAGCTAGAGCTGCAAGTTCAAAATAAAAACTTCTCCATGTTGTTTCCAAATTAGTAGTAAAGCAACAGAAACCACACAACTGTCACAGCTTTTTTACTGAAAATTTAATTTTACAAAATACCCTTTTCCATCAAAGAAACTTCCCTGCAATGTTCATGAACCCAACATTTTATAGATCTGTACAGTGAGATATCAGAGAGGTTTGAAAGAAGGAAAAAAACTTTCAGCAGACACCTAGTTGCAAAACCTACCGCAATGTGAATACAAGTGTGTCTTAAAAAGCTAAAGCAAGTAATGCAGTATACTTGGTGAATCTATTTGAAATGTGAAAAGTTTCCTTAAAATGGTCCATATGGTATGTAGAACACCACAGCTGGCACAAAACTGCCTGTATTTAGGTTTAAACACAAAAACAATGTACGTAAGGAACAGTTTTTGAAAAAGAACCCAAGCGCCGCCATGGCAAGGCAAACACGTACGGAGGTGCTGGCAGCACACAGGGAAATCCACAAAGTAAGATGAATTCTCAAGTGTCCAAACCCTGAAGTTTGGGGTTTTTTTTAACGTGGCCAATAAACGCTGAAAAGCTCACCCATGCCAAATGAACCCAGGGCACCCTTTTCACCAGCCGGGTGTAGCGCCGTGTCACCGTCTCAACGAACGCGCGGCGAGGCATGAGCAGCACGCCGAGCTCGGCTGCCCGGCCAGCACCTAGTGAGTCTGTTGCATTCTGGCAGCTTTGAATTTTGAAATCCTCTTTGTAGTTTCTTCTGATGCTTCGGACAAAACTTCCTCTGATTTTCGCTCCAGAATGGTAGGCAGGACTGGGTGAGCAATGACTGGGTGTGGTATTAAGGAAGGAGACAAAGGCTCCTTTTCTATAACAGTTCCAGAAAATGCCTACAACAGAAGAGAGTACTCAAAATGAGCTAATAAAATGCAAATGTGAAGCTATGCCCATAAGGTCATTACCCTATATTAGCCTGATTAGGATTGTTATTTCTTTTAATCAAAAGTAAAGAAATATCTTTAAATCAATGATTGTTCCTTGCATAAGTAACCAAATTGTAATTAACCTCAAAATATAGCTTGTTCAAAGAGGACTGAATGAAAGACAGTGTCTTAAAAGTACTACTTAATCTCATTCCTACTGCATAAATGATCTAAAATTTTGCTTCCTCACCGGCACGTGCTCAAGAAATAAAACAGCTGATGTAATATAGAGTTTCATTTTGGATACAAAATGAAGAGATTTTGCAAAGTTGGAGCATGTCAGCGTTGCCATCATACGTCACATTTTATGACTTAGTATCTTCTAATTGCATCAAGCTGACACACTGCATACAAATTGGCAAGCCCAGATTTTGTTTGTTCTTTTCTCCTTACCAAATATGATCAAAAAATGGTGAAAGCAATTTATACTTAAGAGAGCAGTAAACTGGCTTCAAACTACTTCTCTCTATAAAAGCTCTAATAAAAACATTTAATGTTTAAAGATGATAATTTATATGCAGCCAATTATATGACTTAATCCTTTTTAAGTTAGCTAAGAAATGACCATGATTCTTGGAAAACATTGGGAAAAAAGCAACTCAGAACTACTTTTCATAAACATATTTAAGAATAAATCATCCTACCAAGTATTGAAACCAGAAAATTCAGAATGCCTAAGGACAAGGGGAAGCAGTTTACATCCAAGGTTTGATGCTCATGCTGGGCACAAAGGAATGCACACCAGATTTATTAATGACGCTTAGTTCTGCTTTTTCATAACTCAGTTACCAAGAAAAACAAAGCAAAACAAACCAGCCATTCTTTTCTTGAAGGACCTGCAAAAAGGAGTTGTTTTTTTTTTTGTTCTCTTCTCCAATAGCCAGAGTATGCCTAAAGCTGTGCCTGTACACAACTGCATTGTTCTAACAACGTTTCAAAACAGGTAAGCAAAATACAACCTAAGAAAATCGTGGTAAAATTAGAAATAAAAAGAAAAAAAGTTCGTGTGTTGCAAATGGTGATTGAGAAATAATGTATTTCAAACACCCACAGAAACAACCAAAAGCAAAACAACAGCATTTAAGAAGGCATGTCTAACTGCAGTGTTTTTATTCACTTTCCTTCAGCTACTTAGAAAACACATTATACTGTAGAGAATAATCATGGTGTGTTCAGAAAACGGACTAACGGGTAACATCTGAAATGTACTTAGATGTTTTACAAAAGTATAGCAAATATGCAACATGAAGTGCTAACTCTACCAGTGCATCTTCCACCATCCTGCCTGGATTTGGGTGTAGCTGTTCGTATTAAAAATGATGATAAACAATAGCTTTTGTGAGGAATTAATTTCTTGTAAAAAATAATTCTCCTAAATATAGTGTTTTCATTGAACTTGCCCACTGCATTGGGAATTATTGAAAACTCCATTTTATCTGGTTTGAAAAATTTAGTGTAAGTTTTCACAAAACAGAAATGAAGAATACTCTATGTCATGAATTTCAGAGCAGCAGCTGCATTTGTTGTGCTCATCCAGTCACAAAGCAACTGAATGCTTTCCCTTAAGTTGTACAGTCTCTCTCCCTTATGACAAAGCCCTGAACCTTCCAAATATGTGGAAATAGATTTGTCTGGGATCACTAATGGCCCTAGTCTGGAATAGGATGAGTAGAGTTCTAACTCTTTCTTCCACAGGGCAATTCCTCTTCCTTAGGCAAGTCCAAATAGTAACTCGTCTGATATTTGTGTCTTTTAAAACTTAAAACCACCACCTGGAAACTAGCTGTCTAGTAGCTGTGCAACACAGGTTACAGGGAATCAACTCTTCCCTCTCACCAACTACGAAGCACAGATTTTTCTCTTTTTCTTTTTTTAACTCTGCTGTATATCCTGCAGTGACATTTTCAGGATGACCCAGCAGACGTGACACTGGTTTCAGTAACACCAGCTCTGCCAGGTCTTTACAGAAGAGCTTCAGGCCTCAGGGGAGCCACCAGACTTGTCTCCTCCCTCTGCCCCATGGATGGGTATGACAGAAGCTTGTCACCTGATCATGTCCTTCTGAAGCAAACTAGGTAGGGGTTAGAAAATTATTTTAAAGAAATCAAACCGATAATATAGGCAACTACAGTCATTAGATTTCTCATTTTTATCCCTGCCAACAATCAATAATTAATTAAAAACTGTACCTCGTTTGTCCCTGAAGAGGGAGGAGGCTTTTTCGGTGGCTGCTGCTGCCCTTCCTCCTCCTCTTCCTCCAGTATGCCTTCGCTGTTGTCGCTCTGAGTGGCTTCATCACAGCTAATGCTCCTCTGAACTCCTCGTCTGTCATCAAACTCGGCAGCACTGTTCTCGCTGGTATCGCTGCACACACTGTTCTCTCTGCTCCGAGACTTCAGGATTGATTTACGAGGGACATATTCTCCATTCACAACATCAACAAAGACTCTGTAAAGGAAAATGTTAGCTTTAATAAACCATTTCAGCATCAGATGACAAACTTACAGTGATCTTGCTTTGTCTTTTGTACGAATTAATGATGATGTGCTTTTCCAACTTTTTTGCTGCAGAATTACAATACTGTACCTTTGGAGGCATTTTATTTACCAACATGCAAGAATCAATTCTGCAGAGCAAACACTGTTATGCCCTTTGTTCAAGCATTAAGTTGGTACACTCTAAGCAGAGGATGTACAGCTCTTTGAAAAGTGTTACAAAATAGAATAGTGCAAGTTACAATAAGTTTGAAAAACGTAAACTGAATGATTGTCAGGGTTGTTTCTGTAAAGAGAAACAGAAGATCACAATGGTGGAAGATCTTCTAGAGTGAAGTCCTTGTCAAATGTAGAATATAAAAACAAATACTTGAAACATTCATTGCACATGGAAAGCATGAAGCATTTTCCTGACAAGTGCCATAATCGTCTGCTTTCAGTTTAAAAAAATAAAATTTAAAAAATCAGCTTTAAAAACCAGATCAAGGCAAAGACACTTTTCAAGTATTACCAGACTGTAAACTGATAAAGAGACCTCTTCCTACATTTTGTACCCCATCTCCATGACTTAAAGATGTCAAAGGAGGGTGGAGGAGAAATAATGGCATCAGACAACAATGCCAATTTTATCAGACTTGTAAAGGAGGAGCCAAATGACTGGATGAGTTTTAAGGATGTTACTTGTTTCTGAACAGCTTTATTCACCAGGCATTCATGGGAATGCTTGCATCTCTCTACAGATGATGGAGTACCTTCCAGGAGCTCGGAGAGAGCACCAAGAAAGAATCCTTTACCTCACCTTCAGCCCCAGCAACCAGAACTACAGGATGGGTTTTAACTTTTCACACTTTGTGACACATTTTTTAAGATATTTAAGTGCCTGAATACACTGACATACAAATGCAGTGTCATTTTCACAAGCTCTTAATCAACCAATCTCATAGGTGCTTGTGTTCATCTTTACAAACCCAATAACTCTCCTGTCACCTCAGTTTAGTATTTTATACACCCCTCTATGGCCAACACTGTTTTTCAAGCTCCCTGAATGTGGCTGATCAATAGGTGAGCACTCTTTATGGACAATAGAGAGAGCAACGGACTAAAATCAGGAAGACAGAATGCAAGAGAACTACACAAACAAAGGCCTGAGTATATTTTGAAGGTACTGAAAGGAAGAGACAAAGCCAGCAACCACTAACTGGGAAAGGAGGAGTATTACAAGTGACAGATTTGGTCACATGTGTTTGAAAACAAACATGAAAGCAAATGACATGGAATTATCCACAATACATAAGGTAATGGCTGCATTCCTTCATGCAGGTGATATGTACTGAGAATTGTACCTCAATTTCAGAAGCTCTGAAAAAGCAGATAAATGATGAATTGCTAGCTGGAAAAGGAAATTTTAAGCTCAGAAAGGTTTTATGGGTATAAAGGCATGGCAACCAGGCAGAAGCCACAAACTTTCATTTTTAAGTAGTAAATTCAGTTCCAGCAGTTTCTTTCAGGAAACAGCAGGCTTGGTTTCATCCTACAGGTGCACAGAAATGAAAGGAGAAGGTCTGCTAAGGGGAAAGCTCACGGGCCAATGCCATAAATTACGCACCGGTAGATGTCTGCTGGGGTTTTGATGTTGGGCAGCTCTGGAGTCGCGTGGCCGTTCCCATTGCTGTTCTTCCTCTTACGCTTGGCCTCTTCCTTCTTTTCACTGAATTTCAAAGTAGTATTTTTTCCTGTGTTTATTCTTACCTGAAAATTGAACACAAATGATGGTCTAGACCATAAAATCAGCAATCACCAGGCTGTAGATCAACTGACTTCTGACATTCTCCTCCCCAAGCAGTAGCGGACTATGAAGCACAGGTAAGTTAAACGAATGGTAACATTTGTAGTGTGAATGTTTATTCTTTACCACTTGCACTAGACTGGGGAATGTTTATTCTTTACCACTTGCACTAGACTGGGGCATTTCTTTGCACTAATATGCATAGATTTTGCATACAATATACGACAATCTGCTTATTCAAACCTTGCTCAACAGCTGAGCTGTTCCAACAGGCAATTCTACGTCAAGTAAAAACTCATTTTAAAAACTCCTAGACAGCATAGTACCTTTTACAACAGCTGGAAGCCAGAGCAGCAAGGTATACATTTGAAGATAATTTTTTCAATGCCATAACTGAAACTGCAGGATGTCAGCAGTGGGTTTCAAGCATTCAAAACAAAAAATAAATGATGAAGTCAATGTCACCTACAGTTAGCATTCTACATTTCTACATTTTCTAAAATCTTTGAGATAAAGGTAAAAATAATAAAGTACAAACCCTTTTAGGTTCAACAGTGTGAGAGAAAAAAATAGTTGGAACAGAATTGTCTCCAACATCTATGTTGTCTTCGTCATCACTGTGATAATATGTAGAGCCATTAATTTGGCCACCAAACAAGTCTGAATTTGTTACTTCTTTATGGAAGTTGCCCTGAGTAATACAGTCCTCTGCTCTGTATGTTCCGTTCAGATCTGTCTTATCTTCTTTCTCCTCCTCAGAGGAGGTTGTATCTTCTCCATTTGTCTCAACCGTGTCAGGCATCCTATGAAATGAAAAATATGTAAGTGAACTGAGGCAATTCATACGCTTGAGAGACACAGGCATACAAAATAATGAACAAGCCTGTACATCATTTCCTTTACCCAGGTAGTCTATTTTTACCCAGATTGTGGAATCTTTTTTATACTCTATAAGAATGATTATGTCTTTTCTGTATCAACTGGAAATACCAAAACTGTGACATTCTGGCTAATGACATATGTATTGCCTTAGGATCAGAATAGATCTAAGGGTGTCATTAAACACTAAATGTGTAACTTCTGCATTGTAAACGATGGATTCTCCTAGCCTGTGGGAAATGGATTTTACTTCCCCCTTTTCTATCATCGTAAAGAAAAAATACTACAGTGCTGCTCTGCCATGGTTGCAGAGAGGTGGATGTCAGCACCTTTGGCCTTGTGGTGCACGCTTTGGTCACATTCCACCCTTCTTCCACCTGCTGGAACTTCAACTGCACTGGCCAGCCAGCTGTGTGCACTGGCGGTGCTCTCCTCCGTGTGCAAACAGAACCACACGCCCAGAGCTCTCTGAACTCCAAACGTGACTGTGCTACAGCAGTACTGTACCTGTCAAGTTCACCAAGTATCTCCTCTTGTCTCTCGAGCTCTTCTAAGCGTGCCCACAGCTCCTCCTCTGACTGAAAACGACCCATTGATTTTGTATCGCTTCCGTTTGCTGGAAAATCTACCTCAAAAACGTCTGAGACTTTTGGCTTTGAATGAGGTTTGTGAGCAGTTCGGTACTTTCCTGTGTGACAGAAAGAAAAAGATGCAATTACTAAAGCAACTGACAAAAAAATCAACAAAAAAACACTGTGGGGGTGGGGGCTGGGGGGTTGACATACAACCCACAAAAGAATTAAGGAATATGGGCAGAACATTTTCCATTTCAAATTACTGTTGAACTGTTTAAGTGAAACTGTCGATGAACCAGAGCACCAGCACAGGGTCTCCGGATGTTACAGAAATACTGAGGCAAAGCAGATATTTATTCACAAAGCAGGAGACACTGATCCTATGACAGTTATATTATAATGTGGGGATTTTTTAACTCTTGTGCCAAACAGTAGACTTTGATTTGCTCTGATAGATACCAGCATGTGAATGTGACATTTGCTCACTGTCCTGTTAACAGCATGTTTTATTAGCTGGGAAAGCAAACCTAGTTTGTACTTCAGCTCATTTTGGACAAAGTCACCTATATTTAAAGAGTCTTTTGGTTTGGGGTTGTATTTTTTTAGATTTACAATGAAGATCATTAAAAATGATCTCCAGAATCACCAGGATAATCTGACCAAACTCCAGTCATTCTGTCACTTATTTTGGTGAAAAAGATCCACTCTGAAAAGTATACAAAACCCTGCCTTTCAGAAATAATAAAGATAAATTCCTTTAAAGCTTCAGAGGTGACCTGCAATATACACTTGTGAGTAAATGGTTGCTGCTGACACGTTCTTGCTGGCATTTAAAAGCGTTGTACCTAGTGAAATGGTTCATCCATTCAGGATGGGGAATACTTTTTACCATTTGAGTGCTGTCTAGCACATAGGGAACAAACTGCCTGCCAACAATACTAATGCTTTAGCACTGTGTGTGTGAAGGGCAGGACTGCTTCTTCCACCTCCCTTCTCCCTCAGCCCGGCAGCTCCTGGGGGCACCACCTGTTTCTGCACAGTCCCACGCAGGTTCCCGAGGGAAATTCCCAGCTCTCTGCCCATCAGCACTCCCCACACACCACCTGCACCTCAGCACAGGAGTCAGGACCCCTCCCTTTCCATCGCTGCCACAAACACACCCAGCAATTTGTCAGGGCAGTAGGATTCCAGTATCTAAGTCTTTATAAAACTCTGCTTTCTGCATCTAATCAGCAGTAATAAAATGTCTTCATTGTACAACATCCTTCAAGTTTTCAAATCTCTATTAACCAATTGTGTGGTCATCTAAAAAAAAAATTTAAGAACTCTTAGCTTAAGGATATCCTTATTCAAATATGTCAGCTTATACTTTAATCCTGAGTCAAATACAAATTCAATAGCAACATTAAAAAGCAAACAGGTGACTCTAAGTCATGTTGGAATGTGTGTCCCCTACTCTTCCACAGGATAGCATTTTTCATCATCTCATTAAGAAAAGGCTGAAATGTATTTTACTGAGATTTGAATATAAATTGAGGTAAGCCAAGCAATCAGAGTAGCTTGTGAGGATTTCATTTGGTATAATTACAAAATTAATAAATAAAATTTGGAAGGATTAGTTAACAATCTATTTCAATTTGATTTTCAAATTATAACCTCCCAATTTCTTTCTGTTACCCTTCAGCATTAACTACTGTCTTGACTACCAAGGTAAGCACGTGGCTTCCTGAACACCACCAAGCACTTCAACATGCCAGTGGTTTTCCCTCCCAGTTCAAACAGAACTTCTGTTAGTTCAGGAAACCAGGTCAGATCTCAAAGACAACAGAGGATAAACACTGGGCTTACTCACTGCTACTGCGAAGGACCACCATTAACTTCATACACTAACCAAAGAAAGTGAAACATTAAAATACAGAAAAATGGGGAGTCAGCAATAAACTAACGAGATGCTCAGGACATTTGGTTTTGTCTTCCTCAGAGGCACAGCCCACTCTACGTGAACAAAACCAGTTCCCAGGCTCATGAAACCCAGGCTGCATCAAAATAATCCCAGTGTTGTTCTTTCACCTACTTCTCTCTCAAGCTCAGTACATGCTGCTGTTGATAGAAAATGCATGTAATTCTCATATATTTTCAGCAAAAATGAAGATGCCTTCAGCCAGTAACGATGGTGACAGTTTAGGACACAATACAGCTGCAGGAGGGTTGAGCTGGCATCCACAGCAAGCTGCCGTACTCACACTGTTACAGGGGGATGCATTCCCCACAACGTCACTGCTCCTACTGTGCAACGGCATCTACCTATAGCAGAGACACCTCCTTAGTCAGCCTTGGCATACAAAGAGTATTGTGGTTTCTCCCAGGAAAATGTTAATGGTGAATTGCCCAGCTTAGCCCTCTGTAAATCACAAGCCACTGCTCCTTCTCAGAATGGCCGAGGGATGCTACTTTCAGACTGGAAAATTATTTCTTCCTCCAACTTTGCCCAAGACTTACTTATCAAGCACCACTCCAGACAGCGCAGAAAATACTCAATTCCTTAGCACAACTATCTTTGTTTCCCACTGTCCTCTCCAGAAATCCCCAGGAAGTAACTGCTTCAGTACACTTCAAAGACCTGCATGCTGACATTGCTTTGGCATTTGTCTCACTGACGGTAGTGAAACATCCACCCCCATGGATGACAACGTTCACATTGTCCATTTATGTCTCATCCCTGTCGGTGCTTCCTCCCTGCCCTGCTGACACTGCTCACTTACTTCTCCCAGAGCAGGCAGAGCCCAGGTTTCACAGAACCACAGAATGACTTAGGTTGGAAGGGACCCTAGAGATCGTCTAATGCACCTCCCTGCCATGGGCGTTTCTCCAGTGTTTCTTCTGTTGTGAAATTCAGGCTCTGACGCAATCAATGTATTCTCTAGTTCCTTCTCCAGGAGCCAAACTATTTTATTTTTTGCCTCTCTCCTTCTACAAAACTTCAAACTCCCAATGTAGACTCTTCAAAGAAAAGAAATCCCCCAAATATGTCTAGTTGATGGCTACCAAGGGATACCAGAGAATCCCACAATGAAACTGAGGGACAAAACTGACCTTGCCTTTAGATAAGTAATTTTCAGTTTGAATACAGCAATTTTTTTAAATGTAAAGGACATAGTGGAATTAAAGAATTTAGTCAATCCCACGTAAGGAGTAGTAATCCTGCAAAAGGAATAATTTGCCTAACACTATTTCAAGGTGTATGTTTATTATTAAATCATTTACCTTTTGTTTCAATGCTATCATCTTCAATTTCTTCTCTTATGTCAACAAAATCACCCGCAGCCTAATTAGAAAGATGGAAAATTAGGATTATTAAATACACTGGTCTATGCCTATTAACAGCCCTGGTATTTTTAAAATAATGCACAGAAGCAAAGGCAGTGGCATGCAAGACAGGAATGACGGCATTATTTATGCACTTGTATCCATCTGAATATCCACCATTTACCAGATTTTTAAAAATATTACAGAATTAGGCTGAAGCAAAACAAGACACTTACATCACTCATTTTCTGCAAGTCTTCTGTGAATTCAACTCGTGATTCAAAATTCTTCATGACTTTTTGCAAATCATCCAGTGCTTTCCTTACAT